GCGGGTGCCAGTGCCAGGCTGCGGGGGACGCGAGGGGTTGGGGGCGGGGGGCCGGGGGCTGTCAGGCCCATGGTTACGTGTCCTGGAAACGCTCACTCAAGGCGTCTTAGGATGCCAGTCAGCACGTTGTTTTTTTTTTTTTTTTGTTTGTTTTTTTAATCCTTTCAGCTGGACATCTCTGGAGCACCCCTCAGGTCAGCGGGACCCCTGACAGGTCCCGGGTCTGGTCCCTGCTCCGTGAGCCCTGGAGGCCGGGACAGCTGCGGGGGCCCTCGGGCTGGTACTGCATGCCGCCTGCACGTCCCTCACTGCCAGGCTCACGTGAGCACCCCGCCCGCTTCTGCCTGTGCACAGCCCTCGCCTGGGACGCGAGAGAATAAGCCACACGCCCTCCATCCCCACCCCTGACTGGGGAGGGGACGTCCAACTAAGCCTAGGAACCTGACCCGCTGGTTTATGGCGATTCAGCTTTCATTCCCAGGGAGAGACGGCAGAGAGGTTGGCGACCGCTGGCTTAGATGATCTAGCTGACAGCAGTCACGTCGCTTCTTCCCATAGTTCTTATTCTTTAATATCAGAGGGAGACTCAAGACAATATCGCCCGTTCTGCTGTCTCATCCAGTAACTCTCAGAGCCCAAAGGCTTTCAGCCCTTCTCTCCCCCACTTTCAGGGTCTTTAATTTGCTTCTAACCCTCGAGACGGAGCCATCAGGAGCAGAGATTTGATTTTTCAGAGCAAAAGAAACTGCTTAAGTGTTTCCAGCCATTTATTTCACTCCTTGCTGGGTGATGCACATAGACTGCTTTTCACCAGGGATGATGGCTTGCACATGCTGTGTGTTTGTGTGTGTGTGTCGGTACGTGTGCACCTGCTCAGAACGGACACGTTGTTTACAACAAAAGGGATAAAAGAGCAGCCCAAATCACACCATCCTCAAGAGTTCACCCATTTTACATGTGACAAACAACACACAGTATTTCCTTTCTCTCTCTGTGTCTCTTTTACTAAAGTACCTTTAGAAACAAGTAGAGTGTTTTGATGTATAAAGAGAATGCTTCAGCCCTGACCAGTTTGGTTCAGTGGGTAGAGCAACAGTCCTCAGACTGAAGGATCTGGGATTTGATTCCAGGTCAAGAGCACATACCTCAGTGGCAGGCTCGATTCCCCAGTCCCTGGTCAGGGTGTAAACATCTCTCTCACATTGATGTTTCTCTCCCTCGTCTCCTCCCCTTCCTTCCCTCCATTGTCTCTTAAAACAAGACAAAGATCAATGGAAAACATATCCTTGAGTGAGGATTAAGAAAGAAAAAAACACACAAAACACTTCATTTCTTCTTGCTATCTGAAAACTGATCCCTACTACAAATTTGATTTTGAAAACAGCCTTTGTGGTTTTGTATTCTGTAGAGAAAAACATAGACAAGTGGACAAAATAGCTTGTATTTTGACCATCCCAGTAACTACTCTGCCGTTTACAGATGCAGTAAGGAGGAGGAGGACGTGTGGTAAGAAAAGTGAATGCCTGAAAGCAGCAGCCGTTGTCTTAATTTGCCTGTGCACTTGGGAATCTTGCCGTCTTACGTCTTGAAATGTTTTTATTTGTTTATTTGTCTTTTGATGTTATCGATTGATTGGCATATAGGAAGTGTAAAGTTTCATGTTGTCAATGTATCATCTTTTCCTTTGTAGATCCGGGAGTTTGGTTCTAGTTTTAAAAGACCTTCCCCATTCTGAGATTATAAATAAACTTACTCATATTTTCTTCTAAATCCTTAGGGTTCCATTTGTTTACATCTTCTAACTCCCTGGAATTCATTGGTTGCAGGTAATGGAGGTAAAGATGCGATTATTTTTTTCCCTAAATGGTCAGTCACTTGTGCAGTAAAATAGATAACCTACATTTTGGCGGTACAGTTACAATCCTTACCCCACCTGTTCAAAATGCCACCTTTTTGTAAGCTAAATGCCTTTATATGTTTGGCTCTATTTCTGTTTTGTTATCCATGAATGCCTTCAAATTTCTCAGGCTTTATTCATATTAGTATCAAATAATCACAATAACATGAATATCTGCAAGTCAACACTCCCCTCAACTAATCCTCTCCCCCCCCACCCCCTCTCTCTCACACACACACATACACACTGAGTGGCCAGATTATTATGTGTTCAGAGATCATAACAATCTGGCTACACCCTCTCTGTGTATGTGTATTTATTTTTTTTTAAAGTACTTTTGAAAGTTACCACTTATTTCTGGAACAGTTCATACCAGATACTATACAAAGTGCGTTTTGTCTCAAACCTTCTTCATAACCTTTTGAATAGATGATATATTTCCAGATGACAGAGAAGCAAACCAGAACACATAAAAATTGGCTAACTTAATCAAGGCCTCCCAGCCAGTAAATGGCAGTCAAAACGATGTTGGGAGATGCCCCACAATACTGAGCTAATTAAAATAAATGTAATCACTCAGCAAGACTCACACACATGACTCACTAATTGCCACCGGTTGCCAAAGTCAATTTTGCTTTTTCCAAAGATAAAAAAAAATAAAAAAGAAGTTACCGTGTTCTGGTTTGTCCTTATCATTACGTAAACATATCAACTGATATGTAGACACATATATGCACGTACAAAATGATCAACTTTTATTTTGACTGGTGAAAGGAGTTCTATTCCACTTACATGCTCTCTCATATTGTGCTAAAATATGCTGTCCTCTCCCAGTCCCAGAGCACCCGAGCCATTTAACTCCCAGGAGGCTGAAGCAGCCGACAAGATATATAGAATTCCATCTGGAAAAATACTGGCTACTACCCCCCTCTGACGGCAAAAGGCACACTGGTGTTCATGAATCCCCACTTCAGATAAGCTTTATCGATCGTTCCTATTTTCAGAAAGGTCAGGTGCCTGCCGGATGTCACAGCCCCTGATCTGGAAATCTTTCTTGCTTGTCCTCATTTCAGACAGTCCCATCCCAGCCGAGATTTATGTCCTACGAGGGCTTCTCCCGCTGGGCTCGGGAAAGACAGCCAATGCATTATCCCTCGTGGCTATTTCACAGTTGACTAGACCTCCCTCTAAGAAGGACAGTTTAGCCCAGAAGTGATGGATCCCCCGAGTCTCTACGATGCCCATCTGGGATAACTAGGATTCAAAACAGCAGATGTTAGCACTTCCCGAGAGCAGCTGAGGAGAGACACCCTGCCCCTCGGAAACTTTGTTTGGGCATGTCATTTCTTTCAGTAGCAGTTGAGGCAGAACCAGACAGGCACCAACTTCCACTAAGAGGTATTTCTGAATATAAGAAATTCAGAATTTGCCCGGCCAGTGTGGCTCAGTGGTTGAGCATCAACCTATGAACCAGGAGGTTATGGTTCCTTCCATTCCCGGTCAGGGCCCATGCCCGGGTTGTGGGAGGTACAGGAGGCAGCTGATGCTTGATTATCATTATTGATGCCCCTTTTCCCCTCTCCCTTCCTCTCTGGATAAAAATATAATTTAAAAAAAGAAACTCAGAACTTAATAGCATTTTATCCTGGGAAATATCTACGACCTGCAGGGCCAGGCACCCCTCAGAGAAAAGCATTTTAAGAGACGTGGAGGATGGACTGCAAAGTTCTAATTGAGCTTTATTTCCCAGGCTCGTTAGATTAAGAAGGGGGGCTTGCCTTCACAGTGTTAATAATTTCGGCGGCTTGGCTAAAGGGACTCCATTTTATATAATTTCCTATCTTCAGTCTTCCCTCAACAGGGGTTAAAATAAGGGGATTTCATTTTTAAAAATATATATTTTATTAATTTTTTACAGAGAGGAAGGGAGAGTGATAGAGTTATAGAAGCATCGATGAGAGAGAATCATTAATCAGATGCCTCCTGCACACTCCCTACTGGGGATGTGTCTGCAACCAAAGTGCATGCACTTGACCAGAATCGAACCTGAGACCTTTCAGTCCGCAAGCCGACGCTCTATCCACGGAACCACACCAGTTAGGGCACAAAATAAGGGGATTTCAGGTATTAAAGAGGCAATTGCACTTGTACAACTAGCATCACCCGCTGGAGCTAGGACCAGCCACCAGGCGGAGCCAGAGTCCAGCCAGAGCCCAGCCAGAGCCCAGGCAGCGCCCAGCCAGCGCCCAGCCAGCCGAGACACCGGAAGGGCTGCTCCCGGGGCATTGTGGGAAATGTAGTCCCGGCAGCCCCGGTCCCAGGCTTCTCCGCTCCGGTCTCCCTTTCACGGTCCCGGGAAGTCAAACCGACCCTGCTCCGAAGGTGCCTTGTGCCCAGCGGTGCTCCGAGCGGGCCTGGGTCTTAGGTCCCGCGGGCGCCCAAGGGAGAGGGTCGGGGCAGCGCGGCGAGATGGGGGTGCGGACCCCCCTCCCGACCCCCCCCTCCCCGCGGCATGCTGAGCTGGCGCGGAGCAGAGCAGAGAGCGCATGCGCCCAGCCCCGGCCTCTCCAACAACTAACCCTTTGTGCTCCCAGCCGGGAACCCTTCCGTTTCCCCCAGCGCCGCCGAAGTTCCCATCGCCCTCTGCAAAAACCATGCCACCAGGGAGGAGCTGGGCCCTGGCCGGCGTGGCTCAGGAGAGAAGAGCGTCGGCCTGCGGACTGAAGGGTCCTGGGTTCGATTCCCGTCAAGGGCACACACATGCCCAGGTTGCAGGCTCCATCCCCAGCGTGGGGTGTGCAGGGGGCAAGCCGATCCATGATTCTCTCTCCTCTTGGATGTATCTATCCCTCTCTCCGTCTTCGTCCCTCTCTAAAATCAATATATACATTTTTTTTTTTTTTAAAGGGAGGAGGACAGAGTGAGTGGAGCATGAAATGGGCTGGGGTCCAGGATGGCGAATTGAGTGGACTGAGAACTTTCTGGAGGAGAATCCAGGAAGGAGAACTTCCGGCCAATTGGGAAGCTTTCTCAGGAAGCCGGGTGTGTGCAGCCCAGCTCCGGAGCGCATTTCAGAATCACAGGCGTCAGACTCCTTCCTTACCTTGCGAGGAGGGGCTGTCACGGGCGTACTGGCTGAGGAGTCTCCATTTATCAATCAGCCAGGAGTGGATGCAGGCTCCCCAGGTGTCCCGGGTTTTGAGGGCTGGAGGGTCCAAGGATGATGAATAGGATCCTGAGTTATTGCAGGCACCTGAGCAGTTAAAGACAAAAGTCATTCATGGCACTTGTTAAGGACAGCAGGACCCTTTTACGAAAGAGGATAATGTAATGTCTTTTTTTTATTTAAATATTTTATTGATTTTTTACAGAGAGGAAGGGAGAGGGATAGAGAGTTAGAAACATCGATGAGGGAGAAGCACCAATAAGCTGCCTCCCTCCTGCACACTCCCTACTGGGAATGTGCCCACAACCGAGGTCCATGCCCTTGACCGGAATCGAACCTGGGACCCTTCAGTCCACAGGCCGATGCTTTATGCACTGAGCCACACCGGTTTTGGCCGTAATGGGTTTTAAAAAGTGTGTTTTTATTGCCTGGCCGGTGTGGCTCAGGGGTTGAGCATCGACCCAAGAACCAGGAGGTCACGGTTCAATTCCTGGTGAGGGAACATCCCAATCCCAGTAGGGAGTGTGCAGGAGGCAGTCAATCCATGATTCTCTCTCATCATAAATGTTTTTATCGCTCTCTCCCTCTCCCTTCTCTGAAATCAGTAGAAAAATATTTTTAGCCCTGGACGGTTTGGCTCAGCGGATAGAGCATCAGCCTGCGAACTGAAAGGTCCCGGGTTCAATTCCGGACAAGGGCATGCACCTTGGTTGTGGCACATCCCCTGTAGGAGGTGTGCAGGAGGCAGCTGATTGACGTTTCTCTCTCATCGATGTCTCTAACTCTCTATCCCTCTCCCTTCCTCTGTAAAAAAATAAAAAAATAAAAAAATATATATATTTTAAAAATCTGTAGCTATATTCCTGCCACGTGCAGACAGCCAAAAATGAAGATTCACCTTCAGTGACTTCAGTCTCAGTATTCTAGGGATGATTAAAAAAAAACCAAAAACCCACAAAACAAAACCCAAAAAACCAACAAGAAACCTTTATGGAGAACTCAAAGACTCTCCCTTGTAACCGGTATGATCATTTTACAAGGATTCTCTCATTTAGCTCTCACCGCAAACTTGTAGGCTAACCACTCATTATTACCACTGTATTATTATTTTCCAGATGAGGTAAAAGAGTGTGATCGACTTGCCCGAGGTGAATTCCTGGATTCAGGATTTGAACCCCTGATGTCTGATTCTAGATCCTTGCTTTTAATCCCCTCCCCTCCCCTCCCACCAACTCCACTCCCCAGCACTCAAACGCTGGGCCTGAAGCAGGAGCGTGTCTGGAGGAACCTGCTGTGAGACCAGGTGTGTTCTTACAACATACAGACCGGCAGCTGTCCGAGGGGAGGGGGCTGGGGGCCGAGTGAGAAGGGGTAAAGGGATTAAGCAGAGAATAAAAGACGCGGGGACACAGACAACAGCGTGGTGACTGCCTGAGGGAAGGGGGTGTGTGTGTGGTTGGTAGAAGGGGGTAAAGGGGGGGGGGTACATGGCAATGGAAGGAGGCTGGACTGGGGGTGGAGAGCACAAAGCATCGTATACAGATGATGTATTATAGACTATTCGCCTGAAGCCCGTAGTTTTCTTAACCAATGCCACCCCGATACATTCAATTAAAATACATCAATAGAGATCAACTATTATCTACTGCCCCGGCAGGTGGTAGCTGTTTCCTAGGATAAAATGCTATTCAGTTCTGAGTTTCTTTTTTTCTTTTTCTTTTCTTTTCTTTTCTTTTCTTTCTTTTTCTTTTTTTTTTTTAAGCAGGGGCCGTGTGGGGCTCAGCTGTCTGGAATAAAAGATGAGGGAGGGAGGGAGGGGCCCTTTGATTCTTTCTGGTCCGTCCTCACAGCCCACGTCTGAACTGGTCTCCTGCCTCTCTGGCTTTTGTTATGCTTTGTGGACTGGGTCTCACCCGTGCATTGCTGTACCCCCTCCCTCCCACCCCCGCCACCCACACATTGTCACTCCGCTCGCTCGCTGGTGATGGGGAGGGGGGCGGTGCTTAGCACAGCCTGCTCAAGTGGAATGTCAGGACCAGCCGGGAGATCTCGTATAGCCCTGCAGACCGGAGTGTGTACGCGAGTCTGTCTCGGTCAAGTCTCGGCCAACGGATCCCCCTCGGCGCTTTGGGGGAGACAAGGAGAATCAACTGAACCAAGTAAGTAGATAACTGGCCAGATGTGTATTCTCAGGGACTGTGAGAACAATATCAGGGCTCAGAAAAAAAAACAAACAGACCAAGACAGGAAAATGGACTATGACAGAGAAAAATTATTTGAGAATCGTGGTTTGCTTGGGATTGGGAAAATATTTGCTTATTTCTCTCCAGGTGCATACCCAGTTACTCTACTGCCCCAATCTCATATAAATACTATTTATCATCAGGAGATACCGTTTTAGTTTCTGATGGTGCATAGAAAACTTTGTCCCTACAAAACAAGATGATACAGCTCACTGTGAGGTGCTAGGACATGAATGTGAGCAGGAGGCACACAGGAGGAAATGTGGAAGCAAACAGCACCCCCCCCCCCTCCCCCAATGCCAGCAGCATAGCCTTGGCCAGGTTACGAAACTGTCCTGATCCCTCCTTTGGAGGAAATAAAATGGTGAAATACTGCCTGCAACCTCACTGTCTAGTATAATAGCTACTAGCCCCATGTGGCTATTTAAATTAATTCTGAAAATTTAAAACTACAAATTCAGCTCCTAAATTATTCTAGCTACATCTCAAATGTTCAAGAGCCACATGGGGTTAGTAACCATTGCACGGGACAACACGTATGTACAATTACCATAGAACTTCTACTGGATGGTGCCATTTATAAAAAAATTTAAAAAAGATGGATCGAAGATAATTTAAACGGTGCTGGGAACAAAGCACTATTAAAACAAATTACATGCCCTAACTGGTTTGGCTCAGTGGATAGAGCATTGGTCTGCGGATTGAAGGGTCCCGGGTTCGATTCTAGTCAAGGGCATGTACTTTGGCTTCGGACACGTCCCGAGTGGGGAGGGGGGTGTGTGGGAGGCAGCTGACCGATGTTTCTAACTCTCTATCCCTCTCCCTTCCTCTCTGTAAAAAAAAATCAATAAAATATATTTTTAAAAGAACAACAACAAATAACACATTTATAGTCAGGACTCTGAATTTTGTGAATCTGTGCAAAGCCTGGAATATACAAGTAAGCCTGGTATGTATGCTCCAAGTCTTTTTCCTGTGAAACTCTCAGGGACTGTCAAAGACAAAGCCATTAACAAATACATTTAGCAGAGGTGAGATTCCGACTTCAGGAGAGAACAAATTCCTAGGTTCCTATATTCGTGGTGGGAAAGCCCGTCATGAGCAAAAATGATTTCAAGTTCCACAATGTGAGTTAGCTTAATTCCTAAGACAGTTAGCTTTTAATACTGTAAATGCTATGAATTTTAAATGTTTTCCTGTCATTGACTGTAAATCACAATAGCAGGAAATACGCCTAATCTTGTACAGTGAGCTTCTATCTGATGTCCTTGCTAAATGTGCTTATTAAATACAACAGATTTATCAGTTATTCTCTATTTTATTTGCTGTCTCCTAGTAATAACTATTTTCCAATTCTAACATTTTTTTTTTTTTTTGCTTTGCCTTTTTGTACTGGCAAGAACTTTCAATAATAAATATAGACCATTATGCCTTTCTGTTTTTTTTTCTGAAAGCTTTCATTTAAAGAATTGTTCTTAAAAAAAAATAAAAAAAATAAAGAATTGTTCTTAATTACAGAATTACTTATGCAACAGACCGACATGTATGTTTCTTATTTCTGATCCCGTCATTCTGATCCTGTGTTTCTAGAAATATGACCATGTCATATGGATTTTTTAACTTAATACGCTAATCTCCTTCCTGAAATTCTTGCCCGGCCCTAAAATCAAAATAATTATTTTAATGCATTATTAAAGTAATGAGTGATACTATTTTTTAAATATCTGATCTTGGTTATTTGTGCCCCTATTCATAGATTTTCCCAATAAACCTCACCAGAAATTTACCAGTTTCAATAATCACTTCAAATAACAACAACAATAATAGTAATAACTTTAAAGGATTTTTGTTTGATTCAGCCCTTTCTTTCATTAATTTCTTTATTATTTGCTTTGATCTGATTTACATGGTACATCACTTTAAAATGTAAATTCAGGATATAAAAATTCCCTCTCAGAAACTTATTTTAGCAAACAACATCTAATCACATATAAAACGATGATAACAGCTTAACACATTTATTCTTGGAAAAATGGTAAGTTAAATCTTAAAAACAAAACACACCAAACATCTATCAGTGCAAATAATCGCATTAAGAGCAAGCACGGTCAGATCTCACAAAAAGACGACTCAGAAAAACGACACGATAAAATTCAGGATTGCATTCACGATCAGCCCCCTTAGCACAGCAGGACTCTAAACTATTTTTTAACTCCGTGAATAAAACACATCTGCAAAAAAATGACAAAGAGCTCCCAGGTGGCGATTAGAAAGCACGGCTCTGAGCAGATGGCAGAGACAAGTGCTGTGAAAGGCTGTGTCCCAGCACAAAGCAGCGTTTTCTCGGGGAAAGAAAGCAGCGAAACAAAGGAGCCCCCCTCCCCAGCCCCCCGCGACTGACACCCGCAAAAGAAAACCAAAGAGGGGGGTGGAGGGGGGAAAGAGGGGTGCACGCAGGGGCCGGGGGCGCTCCTGACGCCAGCAGCGGGGCTGCGCGAACTCTGCAAGCCACGTCTGCAGCTCGCGCACGGCGCGGGGGGGAGGCCGGCCCGAAACCCCCCATAAACTCGGGGCCCTCTCCCCCCGAAAGGCGGGCTCCGATCCCAGGCGCCGGAGCATCCCCAACGCCAGCCCCCGAGGACCCCCAGCATACACACAGCAGAGCCGATCTTGCAAACAGAGCAAAAAGAGGAAAGCTTTTATCCGCGACAAAAATAAACAAAAGAATCAAAGAATCCGATTGCAATTAAAAAGCATCGACACCCTAGGAAGAGAACAGTCATTAAAATTCACCTGCGCGAGATGCTTCGGACACTACCAGGCGAACTTTTCAACGTGGGGGGGCGGGGCGCGCGGGAAACGAGGGTTATGGGTTTTTATGATTAAAAAAAAAAAAAATAGCCACATGCATACAGTGCGTCTGCGTGAACGGCGCGACAGGAAAAAAAAAAAAAATCAAAACCTCATCGGTGGCGGTGGCAGCGGCGATCGCATCCTCTGGCCGCGCGCGCGCCCCCCGCTGCAGAGCCTGGGGGGGCGCGGGGGCGGGAACCCCAGCTGCCCGGAACAAAGGCGGCGCGAGGCTTTGTTCCCAGGCCGGGATCTTTTACACACCGCGCGGCCTCGCGGACTCGTTAGGAGACAGCCGGTGTCCACACCGGAAGTGTCCGACGCGCCAGCCAGACTGGGAGGGGGTCGGAACCAATAGTAACCGGAAGTGGGGGTGGTCGGAAGGAAAAAAAGGCGCACCTTCCCGTCTGGAGCGCTGTGGCGGCTCCTCGGCCTCCGGGCTTCGAACCCTCGCCCAGGGGCCACCGGACACGTCTTGGCACCGTTTCAGGGGGCAGGAGGTGCAATGGAAGAGGCTGCAGCTCCCTCGGAGCCCCACGAAGCCGCCGGGGACGCAACAGATGCCCCGGAGGCCGAGGAGGCGGCGGCTGGGCCCAGCTACCGCACGCACCCCGTCTTCCGGCGTGTGGAGCCTGGAGGCCCGCCCCCCGTCGGCACGTCACGCCTGCGATTGGCCTACGCCTCCGTGGGCGGGGCCAGGCCCCGGGAAGGCCCCGGACCAAGTTGGCTGCGGAACCAGCGGCGCCCAGGCCCCTGGGCCAACCAAGTCGTCTGCAGGTATTTCCGCCATGGGATGTGCAAGGAGGGGGAGAGCTGCCGCTACTCCCACGACCCCCGGGGCCCCGAGGAGGCCGGGGAGGGCCGCGGGGCGTCGCCGTCCCCGCCTCAGGCTCCGGAGGAGGAGCTAGGCCTCGGCGCGTTTGCGGCTGCGCAGTACGGTCCGGAGGGCCAGCCGCCGGAAGTGGCGTGGGCCTCCTCCCCGCCGGCCTCCGGGGGCGCCCCGCCTGGGATTTGCTGGGTCACTGACAGGGGCCCCTTGGAAACCGAGACTGACGATTCAGCGCTCGGAGCTGTGGGGGGAGCAGGTGCGCCAGGCTGGGCGGCCGGTGCGCAAGGAGGATGGGAGGCCGGTGCGCAAGGCTGGGAGGCCGGCGACGAAGGCTCTGACGCCGGTGCCCACGGCTGGGCAGCTGGTGCCCAAGGATGGGAATCCGGTGCCCACGGCTGGGAGGCCGGTGCGGAAGGCTCTGAAGCCGGTGCCCACGGCTGGGAATCCGGTGCCCACGGCTGGGAGGCCGGTGCGGAAGGCTCTGAAGCCGGTGCGCAAGGCTGGGCGGCCAGTGCCCAAGGAGGATGGGCAGCCGGTGCTCACGGCTCTGAAGCAGGTGCCCAAGGATGGGAATCCGGTGCCCAAGGCTCTGAGGCCGGTGCGCAAGGCTGGGTGGCCGGTGCCCAAGGAGGGTGGGCAGCCGGTGCTCACGGCTCTGAAGCAGGTGCCCAAGGATGGGCAGCTGGCGCGCAAAGATGGGAGGCCGGTGCCCAAGGTTGGGAAGCTGGTGCTGAAGGCCCTGAAGCCGGTGCCCACGGCTGGGCAAACGCCGCCGAATTCGTCCCCGGGCAGCCGTACTGGGGCCGCGAGGTGTTCCCCGCCCCTGAGGCTCCCCGGCCCCGGTGGCAGAACTTGGCGATGGAAAGGGGGCCCGATGCCGCGGCGGGCCGGGGGCCGCGCCGGCTCTGCAGCGACGCCGCCATGGGGCAGTGCTACCGCGGGCCGAGCTGCGCCTACCTCCACGGCGACCTGTGCGAGCTGTGCGGGCGGCTGGCGCTGCACCCCGAGGACCCCGCGCACAGGGCGGACCACCTGCGGGCCTGCATGGAGCGCCACCAGCAGGACATGGAGATGTCCTTCGACGTGCAGCGCAGCTCCGACAAGGTGTGCGGCATCTGCATGGAGGTGGTCTACGAGAAGGCCTACGAGAGCGACCGCCGCTTCGGCATCCTCTCCAACTGCAACCACACCTACTGCCTGCGCTGCATCCGCCGCTGGCGCAACGCCCGCGAGTTCCGGAGCCGCGTGATCAAGTCCTGCCCGCAGTGCCGGGTCTCCTCGCGCCTTGTCATCCCCAGCAAGTACTGGGTGGAGGAGCCGGCGGCCAAGCAGGAGCTGATCCGGCAGTACAAGGAGGCCATGCGCACCAAGAGCTGCAGGTATTTTGCCGTCGTCAGGGATTACTGCCCGTTCGGCGACAACTGTTTTTACAAGCATGCGGAGCCCGAGGGCCAGGCAGAGCAAGTGGTGGTGGAGGAGCAGGTGGCACAGGCGCAAGCGCAAGAGCAGGCCCAGGCCCAGGCCCAGGCCCAGGCCCAGGCCCAGGAGCAAGAGCAGGAGCAGGTGCAGGCCCAGGCCGAGGAGCAGGAGCAGGAGCAGGTGCAGGCCCAGGAGGAGGAGCAGGAGGAGGAGCCTGATCCTGAGCCTGAGAGGCAGGGTTCTGGGGCCTCGAGCAACCAAGAGTTGGAGCCTAAGCAGGTGGGAGAGGACAGCATGCCCTTTCAATCCGCCGTCAGCGAGAGCTTGTCATGCTTTGGCTGGTCAGTCTGTGGTCGTGTCAGTGTTTCTATTCATTGGGAGAGAATGAGCCTCTCTCTCTCTCTTTTTTTTTGTTTGTATTTTTCTTTATTTTTGGGTGCTTTTTGTTGTTCAAAGAACCCGTGGGGAGGTACTTGGTTGGGGAGGTGGGAAAGAGTTTGCAACTTGACTCTGTGGCATGTGGTGTAGTGTGTTCACCGCTTCTGTGCTGCCGCTCTCCCATCCGCTGTTGCCTGTGTGACTCTGCCCGTGGATAGGCCCATCGCCATGTGCCAGCAGCCATGGACAGCCATCTCTGTGGGTCATTCATCCGTGTTCTCGCCCATCCCCATTGCTCCCCCTCCCCCCCAACCCTCTGGCGTGTGGTGGTGCCCCCGCTCCTCCCTCCTGTCCCCCAGAATAACACACAGTCTTTCAATGTTATTGCTGTTGTTTTTCTTGGTGTGTGGTGGTGTTGTTTTTATTTTTCATTTTTTTATTTTTCTGGTGCAATGCCTCTTGAACTGTCAGTTTTATGGCTTATTTTTGTCACCTCTGTTTCCAACAGGACTGACTCAGTTCTAGGCTAGTCTTTGCAGGACTTGCACTCATTGTGGAGGCCCTGGAGACTAAATGGGACAGGGTGAAGGGAGAAGTCCTAACTGAACTGAGGACCTTTGTGCTGCTACAGCCTTAAGAGAGCCGGACCCATCCGGGGGGCCCTGGGCAGCTGCTCCCTCGTCTTCGCTGTTTACATGTTGTGTTTTTTCCCCCTCTCTCCCCCCCTGATTCAAGTGCCCTTTCTTACCTGTGGTGACCTCGTGGTTTTCTTGTGAACCAGGTATCTATGTTTACATGTTCTCATCCTGCTTAACTTGATGTGAAAAAAGTATTTCTACTTGGAAGTTGTGTGCTGTGTAGAAGTGAGTATCCAAGTGATGTGTTGGAGCCCTAGCTGGTCTGGCTCCGTGGATAGAGCAATTGGCCCACAGCCCGAACCCCAAAGGGTCCCGGGTGTGAACTCCAGTCAAGGGCATGCACCTCGGTTGCAGGCCTGATCCCGGCCTTTGTCTGGGCGAGTGCAGGAGGCAACTAGTCGATGTCTCTCTCCCTCCCTCTCTCTCTCTCTCTCTCTCTCTCTCTCTCTCTTTCTCTCTCTTTCTCTCTCTATCATTGATGTTTCTCTCCCCCCCCTTTCTCCTCTCTCTTTCTCTCCCCTTCCCACCCTCTCTAAAAATCAATGGGAAAATGTACTTGTGTGAGGTTGAACAACAAAAAAAAGTTATTTATGTGAAGATGTGTCTATAAAAGATTTATGGTGTCATGTTTGTGTGGTAAAGTAAATATTGAACTGGAAGCTGAAGGCCACAGGCCAACAGAAGTTTCGCTGTTGTGTGTGAGTGTGAGGTGGTGAATAATTCTTGTGTTCCTTCCACAGGCGTCAGTGGTTATAGCATCTGTTGAAAGAGGCTTATTCAGACGGATCTGGCCAACTAGGGCACAGGTCTGAAGGGACTTGCTAAATAAGTTGTTGGTTGTTCTCGTGGTGGCTTTACTAGCTCGCTCTGCTGTGACCAATAAAGAAACATGTGTGTACAACCATCTCATTTTCCCTTATTGCAGCACAACCCTGGTTGTATTCCGTATTTTGTGTTCTTTCTAGACATTCCGCATGTGGGGCCTTTGACAGAAGGCCTTTTTCAACATGTCACTGAAAAGCTTTTAAAAGAGCAAATAGAAAAGTAAAAAAAAATGAAACCAATTTTTTGAATTGAAACCAGTCAGAATACAAGATTGGAAAGGCAAAAAAAAAAAAAAAGAAAAAAAAAGAAAAAAAAAAAGAAAGAAATCTAGAAATGAACAGAAACAAATTAAATACAACAGTGATGCCAAAAGTTTAGCACACAAATACCCCATTATTAGATTGCATGTACATGCTTTAGAGACAAAAAGCCACAGTTTTACAGCCTTGGTTATAACGAAAGTGAAACTCTGTGCTGTTTAAAAGACATGGCTGAAATGTGAGAATACAGAAACATTAAAAGCGATAGGATGAAAAAAAAAAAACAACAAAAAACCCAGCAGGGAGGCTGAGACTTCTTATCAGCAAAGTGTGTATGAAGGACAAGAGCATCCCTGGAGGTAGACACGGATGGCAGAACAATTCAGTTAAAATTGGCCAGGACGACAAAACCATCCCAACTCTGTAGTCCTTTAATAACCCAGCGTCAGATGCACACGTAAATGGTGGACAGGAATAGAAAAATTACCGTGTTTGAGTGAACACGTTTTAAAAGCCTTTTCAGTAACAGACAAGGAGAGAACAGCACGGGCTGGTCGTGGAGTGGCCCTGCATGAAGTGCTGTCTGAGTTCGTGGTGAATGCTCCCCACTGGGCTGATGTGACTGAAAATACGCTATCGAACGTATTTGCTGAATTTCTGCCACGTACTTAGCACTCAACAAAGCATGAGTTCCGTCCCCAGAACCCCCCTCCCTTCACCCCTTCCTGTGGTTTTTCTCCTCGTCCCGATGAGTCCGAGCAAAGAGGTGAACGTTGCTTGCTGCGTTCACTGTGGCCTGTGGGTGCAGGTGACCCGCAGGCGCTCAGTGTATTTCCAGGTCACAGACAGTGTGATGCCCGTCTACCTGGCCCAGAGCAGGCGGAGCATGTGACTGTGGCTACCGGAAGCACACCTGCAGTCTCTGAAGTGTGGATGGAGTGCCAGGCGGGATACAGAGGGCCACACATACACGCCAGGGGAGCATGGGGGTCCGGGGGCTTTCTCCGGGGGGCTGCCATATGCGCTGTTCCACCCCTCAGCCTCTCCCCAGTGATGTGACGCCCATAACTTAGCGTTCTGCCTGTTTTCCCTGCGACCCTTGCCATAGCCCTTCCCTCTTGATCCCTTCTTATCCAGAGAATTCCCCAACGGGAGCCCCTGGTCGCCTGGCTGTCACCGGCATGCAGGGTGAGCCGTTCGACGTGAAATCTAAGCATGTGCCCACCCCCAAGGGACACTCACAAGACTGAGATGACGCCAGAGGCTTGGTGAGCGTCGAGTGGCGACCAAGCCGTCAGAGGGTTTTTTTTAAACAACCCGGAAAGCTCAGAGAACTTGTTCGAATGTACGCTACCAGGTGTTATGAAATGTTATGTGTTTTAATTTTTTATTCCCATAGATTCTTGCACCAGATAACAGTCATGAAATGCAGGGGCTGGAGGTGGGGGGTGGTAGTGGGACCTGGGTTAGTAGAAGATAAAATGCTCAGGCAACAGGATCCCGACTCAGCGTCTCCCCAGCGGTGCACTCAGGGGCATGTTAGTTCCATCGTTTGCACTTCAGTTTTGTTCATGTGGGAAACGGGTGAAACAGCACGTACTCTGCAGGGGTGCTGTGGGGAGCAAGTGTAATTAGGCAAGGAGCGTGAATCCCGTGGTATTCTTTAAAGTGGCTATTTTAAAAGTGGGACTTGGGTGTGACTGTGGACCTGATCAGAGCAGACTCAAGAATTGGCAGTCCACTAAGTTTTTTTCTCTTTTCTTTTTGGGAACCTTTGGAACTGGAATTAATATAATATTATTATTTTATTACTAGACTCCCGATGCATGAAGATTCATGCAAGCATCCCACCCCTGGTCGCTGGGCACCTGTGTATGCAAATTAACCTGCCATCTTTGTTGGGTTAATTTGCATACTCCTGATTGGCGGGTGGGCATCACGAAGGCATGGTCCATTTGCATCTTTCTCTTTTATTAGTGTAGATTACTTTTGTAGAAAGGGGGCTCTTTCCCTTATGGTCACAATTTCAAAGAGACCCACAAAATTCCCCCCCCCCCCCCCCCCAGCAAAAGCCCATCCACGTAACACATCCATCCAGGCTCTTCTGTTCCTGAAAATATACTACACAACAAAGATGTTTTCTTTGGGATGGATGCCTACATAAGTCAAATAGGAAATAAGATGATGCCGAAACCGGTTTGGGTCAGTGGATAGAGCATCGGCCTGCGGACTGAAAAGTCCCAGGTTCAACTCTGGTCAAGGGCATGTACCTTGGTTGTGGGCACATCCCCAGTAGGGGATGTGCAAGAGGCAGCTGATCGGTGCTTCTTTCTCATTGATGTTTCTAGCTCTCTATCCCTCTCCCTTCCTCTCTGTAAAACATCAATAAAATATATTTAAAAATTTGTTCTTTAAAAATAAATACAAACACAATATGCATTGCCCAGAAAGACCAATCACGTAATAAAATAAGCATCCAAATCTGTAAAATTTAAAGACACAACACACACACACACACAAAGCACACTCATGATCAGAAACAAGATTAAAGCAAACACTAGTGGGTTAGGAAACGGGAATGTAGATAGCTGCTTCTTTGAAAAAACAAAAAATCAATGAACAGATCACGTAATAACGTGACCAAAGTTAAAGGGGAAAGCACAGCTGTCTGTGAGGAAGACACATGTACGACTTCTGACTGCCCCCCCCCTCCTGCAACAGCTCTGAACGTTCACACAGAAGCAGGACGTGGCCACGCCTGGTGGTCCGCTGCCTCTGAGACGGGTGCCCGGAACTTGGCTCCAAGCCCCCAACACTCATCGCGGGGAGCAGGACAGCACGGACGGCCCCAGGGAGCATGGCGCTCAGGGAAATGAGCCGGTCAGAGGAAGAACACATGGACCACCCGGTCTCACTCCTCTGTGGAATCTAGTGAGCAGAATGAGCTAGCAAGCAACGTGGAGACAGCCTCATGCACACAGAACAGACTGATGGCTGGCTGTCAGAGGGGGAGGGCGAAGGGGGCCAGGTGAGGAGGGTGAAGGGATCCAGTCAATGAGAGAGAAAAAAAAAGAGAGAAATCATAGGCACAGACAACAGTGAGATGGTTTCTGAGGAAAGGGGGAAGAGAGGAGAAGGTAAAAGGAAGATAAATGGTGAGGAAAGGGGACTTGACTTGGGTGGTAAGAACACAGGACGAAATAGAGATTAGGTACTGTAGAACTGCATTCCTGAAGCCTGTGTAATGTTATTAACCCATGTCACCCCCCACCCCACATGAAAAAAAAAATGAATAAAAACCTGCAGCCGAAACCGGTTTGGCTCAGTGGATAGAGTGTCGGCCTGGGGACTGAACAGTCCCAGTTTCGATTCCGGTCAAGGGCATATATCTTGGTTGCTGGCACATCCCCAGTAGGGGGTGTGCAAGAGGCAGCTGGTCGATGATTCTCTCTTATCGATGTTCCTAACTCTCTATCTCTCTCCCTTCCTCTCTATAAAAAAAATCAATAAAATATATTTTTAAAAATAAATGAATAAATAAATAAATAAAATAAATGTGTCTCCCTTGATAGGTGAGCTCTTTAGCATTTGTTGTCATTAATAAAATAAAATAAAATAAAATAAAATAAAAAATAAAAACCTGCAGCATACCTTCAGGAATGTGAGCTATTGTTAGCCGACCTACAGCAATGAGCTTTCATTACTCCTGTCTCTGCCTCCCACACTCAGACCCACCCGTGTCATTTTATTTGGGGGCTTCTCAGAATTTTTCTCCCATCCCCTCTACCCACTTTTCTCACCTCCCACTCTCTGCCCCTGGAAACCACCATCCTGTTGTCTGTTTCTATGAGTTTGGTTTTTTTTTGTGTGTGCTTGTGTGTTTTTTTTTAGATTGCACATATACATGAAATCATACAGTATTTGTCTTTAACTTCCTTCCTGTGGGCCAAGGCCTCCAGACCCATTCATGGCTTTACAAATAGCAGGATTTCCTCTCATTTTTCTTAAGGCCTAATAATACTTCATTGTGGGACATAATTCATACCAAAGGATAGCCGGCACACGCACACACCTGCCCTTCCACACCCGTGTGATCCGCTTTATGAAAAATGTTGCAAAAAAAAGTGAAAAATACGCAATAGGAAAAACAAATCCAAGTAAAAATATTGTTGCATTTTTATACCTTTGAATAAGTCAAAGGGAAGTAATGCTATTGGCTTGGATCAGGCCCAAACAAGCAGGTCCCTTCTCTTTACTGACAAGTGAAAATTATTCCGACAATTAATGCGTTGCCCACAAAAACAAAAATGAGACAT